CAGCATTATATTCGGATATACAAAACCACATATCCCGATATCAATATCCGGATATCATATATGGATATCAATATTCAGATATTATATCCGGATATCAATATCTGGATATATCATATCCAGATATTTCGCGACAGAATGCAGCTCTGCATTTTCGCGAAGATATCACCCAAAGGTTGTTCTTTTAACGATTTCAAAAACTTAAACATGCATTTCTAGGTGTGTTTAACCTTATCCACCTTTAAGTTATTAACTTTAACTTGTTACATGCATCAAGGTCCATTCTTTCCAAGGAAAACTCAAAGACAAAGGTAGTGATGCATACCAATGGTTCAAAACAGAAAAATGAATGCTCTTGGAGCTTACTATGCAGCTCCCAAGATTCTGACTTCAATATGCACGAAAATGGCACACCAAGAAGGGTCCTTTCTCTTCAAGGATCACTCCTTGAAGCTCCAACACTCAAGGAAATGGTTCTCACAACAAGGTTCATGAACTCAGCCCCCAAACTCCTCCAAAAAAGAACCAAAACTCATAACACAAGAGCTTTTCTTCTACCCAAGTCTTAACCACACTCAACTAAGGTGTTTTGATGAAGAAACAATGGAGAAAGGTGGTCTTTGGAGGTTTTCTTTGGAGAAATGAAGGTGGCAAGGTGAGGACACCAAAGGCTCAGAAATGGAGGCACACAAGACACGTAGAGCTAATCAAATCAGCCTAGGGTTGTGTGTAACTTGTGTATTTATAGTCGGTTTAAGTTTAAACACACTGTATTAGCACTAATAGCTACGCTTAGCATTTTAATCCCAAACTTAGGATTCTGAACCTAGTCATTTTTCTAAGATTTTTCATATTTTTATATTATTTTTCGCAGCATTTTTTCGGTACGCGCTTTTACTTTGCCAATATCAGTTCTGACACCAGTTCTCATTATTTTGACTCCAAACTTGTTATAAAAGTCTTATATATTATTCTAGTAATATATACATACTTTTCATAATTTTTCGAAATACTTCATCGGTACACATATATACCGTGAGGCAGAATCGGTATCTGCACTTTTCGTCAGAAAAGCGGCTTTCAACATTATTAATCACTTACCATAATTATTTAATCCTTCTCATAATTATTAGAGTTAATTATGGATTTATCTCATTAATCTCATAATTAATTAATTAAATTCCTAATTTAACAGTGCAGGTTCTTACATTCACCCCACCTTTTTAGAATTTTGTCCACAAAATTAGAACATACCTGTCCCGAAACTCGGGGTATTTCCAGAGAAGCTTGTCCTCTCTCTCCGAAGTACACTCCTCAGGAGTTCTTCCTGTCCATTGCACTTTGACCATCGGGATGATCTTGCTCCTCAGATTCTCCTCGCCGCGATCGAGAATCTTGAGTGGTCCGACATGAGTTTTCAAGTTCTCCCGAACTTCCACATTATCTGGTTGCATCACGTGCGAAGGATCTACTATGTACTTTCAAAGCTGAGACACGTGAAACACGTCGTGGATGTTGGATAAGTTCGAAGGCAAGGCAAGCCGGTAGGCAACAGGTCCTACTCTACCAAGGATCTGGTGTGGCCCAATGAATCGCGGGCTAAGCTTCCTCACTCTGAGGGCCCAACCAACACCGATAACCGCAGCTAGGGAACTCCAAATGAGACATGTGATACCTTGTTAGAAAGGTAATTGAGTCTAGATTAACATATTAAAGGAGGAGAATTTTATAACAAGTAATTTGCGCTCAGTGACTAGAAAACATAAGCATGTACAGTTACGGGGAAAACCATAAAAATGATATTTAAGCCAAATGGGCTTATGGGAATCCTTAGTAACTTATAATAATCATAAATATAGCTTGGATGAGTTGAAAATAATCTAAGTTACCTAAGTGAGCCTTGCATGTAATTAATTGAAGATTTAGGTAGCTTGTAATAATGCACTAAAATACGTAATTATGTAATAATTGGTCTAGACTTGTAATGGGCATATTATTGGCATATGAGTATGTAAAGTGGAATCATTAAATTATTAAGTCGTGGATATGACATGATTAATTAATATGTAATTAATGATGTGAATGGTTCCTACTCTAGGTGTGCCTAGAGAACCGTGCACTTGAGGATTTTGTTGGAGCATACGTATACTATTGAAGTGTGGGCTTGTGCTAAGCTCCCTGAGGTAAGCTCCTAGTTCTAGTTGACTCCTCTCTCTTGTGGCCCCACCATGATGGTGGGCATTATGGTTGTATTGTATGAAAGTATATGGCATGATGTATATGTGCATTCATTCACATTCATATAGATGTTATATGATCTTGATGTTATGATGATGCACTGATGATATATGTTATGAGGATCCTGGACAGTGATCATGGTATGTAGGCTGCCTATGACTTGACTTTGGGAGCTATTATATACTGAGGTTGTGTTGACTGTCTATGGCTTGACCCTGGAAGTCACACATGTGTAACCGTCTTTGGCTTTGACCCTGGGGTTACACAAGGATGATATGATGATGCTATGTTTATGCTGTATGTCTGTATTATATGCTTTATATCTGACTTGTCATGCTAGAAGTGAGCTCAGGGGTTAGAGGGTCCTCTATGAACCTTGAGCTTACTGAGATGTTGTTATCTCACCCCGTTTGAGGACATCATTTCAGGTACCCAGAGTAGTGGTGATGCTTCTAGAGGCAAGGCCCCCGCATTGGAGTAGTTGATGATGCAGCTGATGATTTTATATTATGTTTAGACTTGATGTTGGCATGTAGACTTGTTAATATGCTGAATTATTTTATGGAGATTATTGTATGTATTTATTTAGGCTCATGATTGTATCCTTAGAGCCATGGATTATTTACTGATGCTTTTATACTTTGAATTAATATAGGCTTGATGCATGTATTCAGTTAATTTGGGCATGGAGCCTTATTGATTGTATTGACCCATTGAGGGGATTGCAGTCCGTGTGGGACTTGCAAGCTATCTGTTTAGATTATTGTATCAATCAGGTTAACTGTATATGTGGGACCATGTTCCCAGTTATCCGAAATACAACTGTTATGTTGTCTGTGAGACTCTGTTAGGAATGACACTTGATGTCATATCCGGATGGTCAATGGTCACTAATACTGGCTAATGGAATTAATGAGTAGATGTATGTTTTAGATTTACGTTTTCGCAGTATCTCACGTGAACGTTTTTAGAAATGTTTTAATAAAATAATTTGGAAAAAGTTTGCTCGTATTTGCTTTTAGAAGTGTATCCTAGAAAAACTCCCTCATCACTACGAGCATCAAATTTACCTAAGTTATCCCTACCATTGTTGTGTACAAAACACTTAAAACCAAATGTCCTTATATGCATGTGAGTGAAGGCTTCATTCCTTTGAGTAGCTCATAAGGAGTCTTTTTCAACAATGGTATGATCATAGCTTTGTTGATGATGTAGCATGCTGCATTCAAAGCTTCAGCACGGAAGTTTCTTGGAAGTCCACTCGCAATCCACATGGCCCTTGTCATCTCTTCTAATGTCCTATTCTTTCTCTCCACCACTCCATTCTGTTGCGGAGTCCTAGGAGCTGAAAAATTAGAGTTAATATCATGTTTCCTGCAAAAATCAATAAACTTCTGATTAGCAAACTCTCCACCATTATCAGACCTAATTGATACAAGTTGATGATCAAACAGTTTTTGATTTTTCTTGACAAGGAATAAAAAGTACGCAGTTCTTCTTTGTGGGAAAAATGTTTATTCTTTTAAAAGACACAACTTGTGTCATTTCACTCTCACAAAGAGGTAGGACCCACACTTTTTTTTTGTAACTCTCTCTCCTCCTTTATCTATCTCTTTTTTTCTCTTAAAATGACATAATTTTACGTCCTTTAAAATGACACACATTTTTTTCCTTTTTTTTATAGGTACTCTTTGTAAGAATGACAAATTTTAACCATTTGGTGGCCTTGTGAGTGCTTCACTAGTAAGATACGGAGACAGCTATAGTGAACAACGGCTAAATATGTTCATCATTTTATGTTGCCAAATTAAACTAAGGAATCTAGTAACGTTTTACCACTTGATGCATGTATGCCGATATGAGATCTGATTAGCTTGAAATTAATAGATGACAAAAAAGTTGCTTATCTACGGAACAGTGAATTTTTTTTTGGTCATGTCAACCCAATGGTGTTGCTTTCAATTTTAATGAAAATCAGGTTAATTCTATATCAAAAAGCATTTTGTCACTGTTAGAGTCAAGAAAACATTTAAAAGTTCTCTATTTCATTATAAACGTTTACCAAACAAATTCAATCGATTTCACCTTACACAACTACCATTTTAGTTACAATTGTAAAATCATGACTATAACAAGAATTGTGTAAATAACTAGTTAGCTCAAAATAGCTGAGGTCCTTAAACTCACACGAAGCTACTTGTTCGTAAGCATGACTGAAGGAATTGCTGAATTGCAAAGCGAAAACAGCATCAACCAAGAAAAATAGTGAATCAACATCTCCATGAAATACGTGCATCAGCATGTAAGGAGTTGTTTTAGATTAACTAATGATTTTAAATTCGAGTCTTGAATATGCAGTTGTATTAAAAACTTGGTAGAAATAGACTTACGGTCCTTGTGATCCTCCTCGGCTTGACTGGATTAATCAATTAATTGATGAACCGTGAAAAAATAAGAAATAAAAAATAAAAAAGCAGTGTTACTCGGATGTCAGAGCAACTTAACTATATTAACTTCTAGCACTCTTCACTAGGTGAATCTTATAACTCTCCATTCAAATTGGACAATCAGATAACAACCACACACCTTGATTGCCAGGGTACAGGGAAGGTCACTCCCTCTCCATTCTATTTAATATCTCAACCTTATAAACACAGACAAGTTAATAAGCCATAAACCCCTACTTAATTCCATTCACCCTTCTTCCCTTTCAACACAAACACCCTTCTTCAAAAACCTTAGCTTTCTCCTTCCCATCATGTAAAATGGCCAAGATTCCATTTGAAAATATGGGTTGCATTCTAACAATCTATCTTCTTTTCGGCATAATGTTCTCAACAAATGCTCAATTTGTTGAGAAGACTTATCTCATTCAAATGGATAAGTCAGCAATGCCAAAAACCTTCTCCAATCACCTTGAATGGTATTCTTCAAAAGTGAAATCAGCACTGTCCACATCTCTAGAAGCTGATATGGACAATGAAGAAAGAATAATTTACACTTACCAGAATGCTTTTCATGGAGTTGCAGCCAAATTGAGTGGAGAAGAAGTTGAGAAGCTAGAGGCTGAAGAAGGTGTTGTGGCCATATTCCCTGATACAAAGTATGAGCTACACACAACAAGAAGTCCCAAGTTCCTTGGGCTTGAAACAGCACAAAGCACTAACATCTGGTCAGAAAAACTAGCTGACTATGATGTTATAGTGGGAGTGTTAGACACTGGAATTTGGCCAGAGAGTGAAAGCTTCAATGATACTGGCATGAAACCAGTACCTGCTCACTGGAAAGGTGCCTGTGAGATAGGACCAGGCTTCAGAAAACATCACTGCAATAAAAAGATTGTGGGGGCAAGAGTGTTCTACCATGGATATGAAGCAGCAACTGGTAAAATTAATGAGCAAAAAGAGTATAAATCACCAAGAGATCAAGTTGGTCATGGCACTCACACTGCAGCTACAGTTGCTGGCTCTCCTGTGCTTGGGGCTAACCTTCTAGGCTATGCTTATGGCACAGCAAGAGGAATGGCACCAAGAGCAAGAGTTGCAGCTTACAAAGTCTGTTGGATTGGTGGGTGCTTCAGCTCAGATATTCTGTCAGCTATTGATAAAGCTGTAGCTGATGGAGTGAATGTTTTATCCATCTCTTTAGGTGGTGGAGTCTCCTCTTATTACCATGATAGTTTATCTGTAGCTGCATTTGGAGCAATGGAGAGGGGTGTTTTTGTTTCATGTTCTGCTGGAAATGCTGGACCTGACCCTGTTAGCATCACCAATGTGTCACCTTGGATCACAACAGTGGGAGCCAGCACAATGGATAGAGATTTTCCTGCAGATGTTAAGCTTGGGAATGGACAAAATGTTACTGGAGTTTCACTCTATAAAGGGCAAGGTATGCCATCAATTAAGAAACAATACCCTTTGGTATACTTGGGCAGTAACTCAAGCAGCCTTGATCCAAGATCTCTGTGCTTGGAAGGGACTTTGAATCCTCAAGTGGTTTCAGGAAAGATTGTAATTTGTGACAGAGGCCTTAGTCCTAGAGTGCAAAAGGGTCATGCGGTGAAAAGTGCAGGAGGGGTGGGAATGATTCTTACAAATACTGCAGCTAATGGAGAAGAGTTGGTTGCAGATTGTCACCTTCTTCCAGCAGTTGCAATAGGAGAGAAAGAAGGGAAGGAGCTCAAACATTTTGTCTTAACAAATAAAAATGCCACTGCAACTCTAGATTTTCTTGGAACAAGGTTGGGGATTAGACCATCTCCTGTTGTAGCAGCATTTTCATCAAGAGGGCCTAATTTTCTCACCCTTGAAATTCTGAAGCCTGATTTAGTAGCTCCTGGGGTGAACATTCTTGCTGCGTGGAGTGAAGTCATTGGTCCATCAAGTTTGCCAACAGACCAAAGGAGAGTGAAGTTCAATATACTCTCTGGAACTTCAATGTCATGCCCACATGTGAGTGGGATAGCAGCATTGCTCAAGGCTAAGCACCCAGAATGGAGTCCAGCAGCTATAAAATCTGCCTTGATGACAACAGCTCATGTTTATGACAACACCATGAACCCTCTAAGAGATGCCTCAACTGCTGAACCTTCAAGTCCTTATGATCATGGTGCTGGACACATTAACCCCATTAGTGCTCTTGACCCAGGTTTAGTCTATGACATTGAGCCACAGGATTACTTTGAATTCTTATGCACACAGAAGCTAACTCCAACTCAGCTTGGAGTTTTTGCCAAATACTCAAACAGATCTTGTAAACACTCTCTTGCCAATCCAGGGGACTTGAACTACCCAGCAATATCATTAGTGTTTCCTGAGAAAACTTCCATTTCAGTTTTAACAGTTCATAGAACTGTCACCAATGTTGGCCCTCCTGTTTCTAAATACCATGTTGTGGTGTCACCATTCAAAGGTGCTTCTGTTAAAGTTGAGCCAGAAACCTTGAATTATACCAGAAAAAACCAGAAGCTATCTTACAAGGTTACCTTCACAACAAAGTCTCGGCAAAAAACACCTGAATTTGGAGCTCTGGTATGGAAGGATGGTGTGCACAGTGCGAGAAGCCCCATTGTGATAACATGGCTGCAACCAATATGAATTTCACCGGGTCTACTTACAAGTTCAGTAGTATGTCTTTATTGCAATAGACAAATCTTCTGTACTAGGAAAGCTATTATTATATGTATTCAATAATGATCTAGCATGCCTCATTCTCCACCTTAGAACTCCAGCAACATCATCCACATAGAATTCATATGCAGTTTCAAAGTTGCAGAATGCTTAAAATGTCCAACAAATGTGAGTTACTGCTTTAGTCTCAAATATTGTGGTTACATTAGCTCTTTTTTGTTTCACTACTGTTATATATTAAATTCTCAATCATTTATGATACTCTTATATAGTATCAGAGGGATCTGTATGCTATAATGTTGAAAAAAATATCACATGGTCATACGGGAAATCATAATCATACAAAGGTAAATTAATTGTGATAAAAGGAGAGAAAAAAAATATTAAAATAAGTAATTACAAAATCATAACCGTTGATTCATTTTTGTATGGTTGTGATCTTTCCACGTGAACATGTTATAACTTTTTTTAACATGAGAAAATCTATTTCCTTATCAGACTATCGCTATTCATTTGCCAAAGGAATTAAACAATGGGAAGATGATGTGCGTGTTAAAGAACACAATCAACCCTAAAACTTAAAGTTGTCAAGTGAATGCCTTTTTAATTGTTTTTTATAATTCTCTAATACATCCCCTCGCACAAAAGTCTATCGAGTTTGAAAAATCGACGATATATCAAATCTGTACTTGTATTAAGAAAATCCATAATATTATACTTTTTCAAAAAGAGATCTATTTATTTTATGTTGCATAACATAATTATCTTTATGCAATAGAGACAAGATAGTGCGGTTCACTATTTTTTCTTTTTAAAAAAATAAAATAATAGACCACACTACCTTGTCTCTATTGCATAAGATAATTATCTTATACAACATAAGATAATTATTTCCCTTTAAAAAATCATTTCAACATAAAAATTAAGTAATGTTACATGGGAGGACTTATATTGACAAACTATTTTTCTTACAAACTACATTAAGTCTGATTGGTCAGACTTCAATCAAGAGTGTATGACTGGTCAGACTTAGTGTAGTTTGTAAGAAATTTTTTTTGTCAATATAACCTTGTTACATTTATGATTTCATATTATATTTCTCTAATAAAATATAAGCATTTAATTAATAGAGGGATTCACATTTACTTTCCAGCTATTTCTTTGGTTCTTCACCTATCCCTCGTGTGAATTCATTTTGAGTAACACAACAAACTCCTTGAATGTGCATGTGTCAATTACAGAATAGCTGGCCTCATGAAGAATATGTGGTCCAAAGTACTACTACTGAGATTACTAGTCATTAATATTTAGTTCAGGTTTCGATATAAGCAGTAAACAGTTCACCTGCATATGGACAGGTTCAATAAAAACCATTTTTCATTTTTTTTTTTTATATCTGGAAAGTAAGAGCATGGTTTGTGGATGGTATCCGACAACCATGACAATAATTTAATACCTACTCAGTTGAGGAACCCAGAATCCAACAAGAAGGGAAGAAAGATTTAAAAAAATAAAAATAGAATAGAATGCTTCTTCATCCAGAAAAGACGAAAAAAATGAACTACATATTTGATTTCATATCAAGATGCAAAAGGTAACAACAGATATTATTGTTTTGGGTATATAAGTGGCACTCATTGCTAAGCCAATTCATTTGAGTCATTTCCTCACAAATAAACGATCTAGCCTAATAAAAAGGCTAATATATTTAAGGGAGATCTTTAGTTTTTTAAATCTAATTTAGGGCTTATACCATATTATCATAGGATTTGTTTTTTCTACAGTAAATAATTTATCTACAAAGAGCTCAAAACGACGTCGTTTTGAGACGGAAATCAAGGTGTTTTTGTAATTATAATTTATTTCAGATTATAATAGTCTTTTTCATTATTATTTTTTTATTTTCAACCCAAAATGACGTCATTTTGAGAGCGAATGTAGATAACTTATCTACATTCACTTTAAAAACATTAAAGTCATTATCATATCACACTAGATTTAAAATATTTTACACATATTTAATTTTTTTTTAAACTAAAATATAACTCAATACAGCTGATTTACACCTCTAATTACGAGTATCTGTATATATTTTAATAAATTGATTACATATTCATCGATTTGAAATATCTTTGCATATTTTTTCAATTGTTGTTGCATTTTCAATTACCACTCTTTATTGTTAGATTTCTGTTATCAACTGCCACAATGAACTCCATGATTGGAAAGCTCAATCTTAAATAAAAAATTCTTTATAAAAGAGAGTTTCACCCCACATGTACGTATTTGGGAAATCATAATTTCCTTGTTATCATTATACACACATCACTCTTTTGGCCCTCTACCTCTCATGCACAATGATATACCATTACCTACCATCATCTCATCCATAAAACACCATTAGCCCAAAAATACAACATCAATATTTCATATCTGATATCAAAAATTTCTCATAGTTAATTTTATGGGATGTAATGGATTGAGATTTCAAAAAAAATTAATGGATTATTTTTGGACAAAAAAATTCATTAGTATTCAATTAGGATTTTAAAGGATTGAAAAAAAGTAACGTGATATTTGATTAGGATTTTAAAAGATTATTTTAGAGTTCGTCCAAATCTGTCGCTATTCAATCAGGATTTTAAATAAAGGAAAAACAATCTTGTGATATTCAAAGATCTGACGATTTTAATGGATTTTTTATTAATGTGGATTTCGTGAGACTTTTTAGTGAGAAATATATATAGGATTCACAATCTCACCGTACTCCCTAAGATTTCCTTAAATTTCTCTAGTGCAGTATCTTCTTATTCCTTTGGCTGGTTGACCCGCTCGAAACTGGATTTTGCCATGGGAGCTTCGTCAAGACTCAAAATAATAGATTTTTTAGCGATTTTCATCCCAAAATAATCAAGAAACAACAAATCAACAAGATATTAATACAATTCATCTCAAAAATAGGAGATTTTTTAGCAAATTTTGAGAGCTTTTGGGAGTTTAAAAAATGATTTTTCAAGCTATGAGTCACGATTTTTCTCGGCACAAAAGGTATGATTTTTGTATTAAAAACAGCATAAAACAATAGGAAAACAACAGGAAAACTAAAATCCTCAAACCAATTTTCGTTTTACATTAATGAAACAATATCAATTTAAAGAAAGATTGAAACTTTCATAATATGAATCCTATATATTTCATAATAACAACACATTCATGAATAAAATTCCTTCGCTATAAGAAACAATTTCAAACATTTTTTGTGTCAATAGATAACTAAAAACTTGTTTTTCAAAAGCCTCAAAGCAATTTAAGATATCAATGTATCAATTGAAAATAATTTGAGAAAATTCTAAACTTTCATGTAATAAAACCAAGAAATTCAAATTCGAAATTTTCTTAGAATATTCAATGAAAACATGCATATGATATATGGTTAGAAAACTCTCATCACGTAAAATAAAAACCCAAGGTTTTCAAGATCAATTGCAATTAATTTCACACAAAATTGTATCATGAACTTTAGGTTCTATATGCAAATTTAGAATTATTTTAATAAATAGAAAGATCGGGACTTATAATCATATATGCATAGCTTTGATACCAAATGAAGAAGATAATTTTTAACCTATTGATCAAACCCAAGAGCAGGAACGAGAAAATGCCAATGTGTGGAGGACTAATATAGCTTTAGATATGTGGAAAGTTGTTGCTTAGTGATTTTGAATGTTTGTTAAAAATTATATTATGTTTTACTGATTGAGAAAATTATATTAAATTTTACTTTTTTTATTAATATCATTGCATTTTTTTGGTTATTTTTTTGATTCACTCTTGTAATTTTGAATGTTTGTTAAAAATTCAAATGATTTTTTGAAATCATATAAATTCATATTGTCATTTCAAATCTTATAAATTCTATTAAAATCCTTTAAAATCCAATCATATGAAATCTTGATTGTAAAAAAATGTCTTTTAAAAATATCTTTAAAGTCCCTCCAATTTTAAATAGTCTTTTCAAGTCTATAAGATTTTTTTATCTCAAAGAGTCTTTCAAAATCCTAATCATTGATACACCCTATGTAGCACCGATACGACACGTGACACGTGACACGACACGCCACGACACTCCGACACGTCAATCCTAAAAAATTATGGATTTCGACACGTTGGGACACGTTTTAATATTAAATAATATTTTTAATTTATATAGTGTATATTTCATTTAATATTTAATAATTTAACAAAAAATGAAATTAAATGAATAATACCCATCAACACGTTATAAAGATGGAAGCTTTAATAAAAAAAAAGAACTGGGATGAGAGATATATAATATCAGATAGAGAGATCAAATCATATTAGAGAGAGATCATAGAGAAGGAGATACAACAAGAGCGTGATAGGAATTGACAACAATGATGCTGAGATGATCTCTTATCTACTTAAGGGGAAAAAGATAAAAAAAAATAAAATTGATATGATCAGGTGGAAGCTTATTAATATATTTAAATTTTAAAAAAAAATTAAAAAAAAATTACGAAAATGTCATTTGACCGTGTCGAAATGGTCAACGTGTCGGAAAAAGTTGACCGCGTGTCCGACACCGTGTCGGAGCGTGTCGCCGTGTCGGACACGACTCTTCCTGTTTTTACAAGTGTCCGTGCTTCCTTGGATACACCTCCTATAATATTAAAGGCTTTATTATATCTACAATAAATGTAGATAAGTTACATACATGCACTCCCAAAATGATATCGTTTTGGATTAAAAGATTTAAAAAATATATTAAGAAAGACTATTATAACTCTGAAATAAATTATAATTATAAAAATATCTTGATTCGCCTCAAAACGACGTCGTTTTGGATTCAATATAAATAATTTATCTACATTGACTGCAGAAAAATAAACCCAATATTTAATCAACGTTCTTGTTTTATGATGAAAAAGATATATGGAAGGAAAAACGTATTCCATTTAACTAAAGTATAAGTAATGAGCTCTAATCTAACTATGCATACCCATTGAATGGGTAAGAGTAATAAAGTTGTAACCTGAGATAGTATGATTGAACCCTATCCATTGCTATCATAAATGGTAGCATTGTGTAAGATAGGGTTCGCAAAATGGCCCAACCGAACTCGATCTGGCTCAAATTTATTTGCAATCTAAAAAAAAATGAATCGAGTTAGGTTGACTCAAAAAAAAAAAAAAAAATCAGTCAAAAAACTCAACTCAACCAGACCCCTAGTTGGGTTAGGGTTGGTTTGAAAAAATAGAAAAAAAAATTAGTCTTTGTCACACTCATCCAATACATGTGGTGGGGAAGTTAAGGAAATGATTTATATTTGAAATAAGATATTTACTGCAAAGGAATACCCTTGATGTAAGATATTTAGTTGTTGAGTATAATTAAATTAATAAATTACAAGACAAAAACAACAACTCAAAATACATCACAAATGGCCCAAAAATTTATTTATTTTTGCATTTTTTAATAAATAAAAAAAGAATAACTCGCGAGCTGACCCGTGGGTTGGCTCAATTTTTTTCGAACTGATTCGAGTTGTCAGCTCATTTTTACCAATCCAACCCGATTCATTTTATGCTGGTTGGCTCATTTTTGCAATCCCTAATATAAACAATTAAAATATAAAGAACACAAAAAATACTAAATAAATATTATAATATTTAATACATTTTTAAAGTTTGTTATATTTTTTAAGAGTGAAGATATTCTAACTACTTAAAACTCTCTCTAGTAACTTATACTACCTATCACATCACTATTGGATTAAAGGGAGAAAACGTTAAAAAAAATTTGAAGAGAGAGAAAATGTTAATCTAATGGTGATTAGATAGGTAGTAAATTGATAGTGAAAAATTTTGTTAATTAGAATATCCCTCCTCATTTTTTAAATCTATTTTTCATTTAATAAATTCTTTTCGTGATTCCGGATAACATTTTTTTTTCTAAAGATAAAAAGCAAAAAAATTAATTTATTCAAATACGCTCACATGAGGCACATTTCAATAGAGAGAGACACATTTATGTAGGACGTGACTTATAAGGCAAACATGCCCTGACCAGGAGAGAGATATGCCCATATAGAATGTGATCCAACGAACGTCTAAAAAGAGAGACACGTCCGTATAAAACGTGATCAATAGAGAGACACGTCTGGTCTGAATAATTGATTTTGACACATTGTGGCCTACAAAATAAAATAATCTTCTGACTAAAGTGGCAATGATGACAACATGGAACACAAGTGGGCGCAGGATAAGCACGTGGGAGTTGCCTTTAGAATTGCACGCTACCAATGGCATGTCTCTTTAGTTGCAAAAAAAGAGAGTTCTCTTACATAAAACAAAAACAAGGTTTGGTAGAAAAAAAATAAAAAAAAGTAGAGACAGTATTTATGTAATTATTTATTAAAAAACAAGGAGAAATTATATTTACAATTTAAATAGTTTATAAATTTTTACAATCATATTTTACCTGTTGATTTTTGTCAATCAACAATTGTCATTTATTGTGAATTAATAATAAATTAATAAATTTGATTTGCGAAAAACTCAACCATTAATTAATAAAAACCAACAATTAAAATATAATTGAAAGAAATTATAAACAAAATTAGTTCGTAAAATATAACCTTCTTAAAACACAATATTTAAATATTTTTGCCAAAGATAAAAATCGTTCCAAAACGGTTTGTCGTTTAGGAGCAGAGACAGTATGTACTACATTACTGGTTTGAAGTTTGAACATGGAGATGCGAATCAACATCGCGATCCCTTCTTCCGAGCATTCCCCGAACGCACACTGAGCAATGTCCACGCTCATTCCGATTCGGGACGCCGGCGTCGCCGCCGCTGCAGTCGACGGAGTCGACGGCTTCTACTCTCCGGCGAAGCAGAAAGCCGCCAACCGTGGCGCCTATGGTAACCGCCCCCTTCTTTCCCTTCGGCGAGCCAAACAGTTTCTCGGCGCCGCGAAGTTCAAGCTCTTCTTGGCGTTCTGCGCCTTCTCCGTCGTCGTTTTCGTCAACTCCCGGCTCAGTTCATGGATGGGTTGGAATCCTCACCACCCTTCTTCCGTTTCTTCTACTTCAAGGTAAAAGAATTGGATCTGTTTTTCTCTCCAATTTTGTGTTTTTTATTTCTTTTGTTCGATGATGGCTCTGTTTTGTTGATTCTTCTTTTTTCTGTCTATTTTTTTTAGGTTATGTGAATTTGCTGAAATGGGGCTTTAAATGGAGTTTCTCGTTATATGCAATTGGTTGTTCATTTTTTTTATATCAATGAATATTCATGTTATTACTCAAATTAACCATTAGTTTTGAAAAGCAATGATTATTGTTTGAACTGCTTTTGCATAAATGCTAACAATTATATGTGACATGAAATTGGAGATTTTTTCTTGGATGCAACAACGTGCCAATACGATTCTTGTTTTTTGTTGGATTATAATTGAACAGATTTATGTTATGTTTAATTGGTTGAACTGGTTCTGTTGATATAACTAGTTTAATCTAAATTCAGGGGTGGCTATACTGTGCTTATAAACACTTGGAAGCAAAATTCTATCCTAAAACAAGCTGTTGCTCATTATGCATCCTGTCGTAGTGCTGATGCAATACATGTGGTGTGGAATGAAAGTGAACCACCATCTGAAATGCTGAAAACATATCTTGATAAGATTGTGGATTTGAAGTCTCAGAGAGCTCACAAACCAAACATTAGATTTGGTATCAATGCAGAAGATAAATCAAACAGCAGGTTTAAGCCAATGAAGGACATATGGACAGATGCAATTTTCTCAGTTGATGATGATGTTATTGTTCCATGCCATACTCTAGATTTTGCTTTCTCTGTCTGGCAAAGTGCTCCATTCACAATGGTGGGATTTGTTCCTCGAATGCACTGGCTGGATAAGGAGGTTAGTATTAGAAAATTACTTCCTTTTCTCTTCTATTACTTAATTTTCTCATAAACTGCTTGAATTTGTACTCTTTGATTTCTTACAGGTTGAATGTTACATTCTTGTTACACAACAAAAAATTGTCTAGGACCAACCTCCCGTAAGATTGCCAAAATAATTAACTTTGGTTAGGTTTGTGATAATGCTTGCAAGTAGGATACTGAAACCTGAAGTATTTTGTCGGAGAAACTATATGGTCATATGGTAGAGTTTGAATGACATTCAGGTTTGATTGATTATAAGATGAAGATGAGACCTTCATTAATTGGTTACACAAGAATGGTGCAACTCCCATTTGAGGGGTGGAGGGTGGGATTTAGAGGGCAAAAATATGGAACTAATATGGAAAAGGCTCCTCTAAAGTGATATTGTCTATATAGCGAGCAAGGGTGTACAATCCTTAATTTAATTTAAAATGTATTGTCATGTTAATCCACTAAATTTTAACAGTAGATATACCCTTTGTCAATTTAGAGACAAACTCATTTTAGAGAGGCTTTTTCCGAACTAATTTATTGTGTAAAATCATGGGAAATGGCTTAATGGTGGGAAAAACACATGGCATTTACTCTAATATTTATAAAAAACAAAAAAAAGGAAAATAAGAGAAAGATGTGGAAGTTCTTCTCTGTATTCATGGCACCTCCCTTGATGGTAACATAATTGAACTTTGATTTACTTTGCTTGCATATAACTTTTCAGATTAATTTCCATATTTCGTCTGACAAATTTCTCTTTGTATACTACAGCTAAACAATGTTGCATATTATAGATATGGAGGATGGTGGTCTGTTTGGTGGATGGGCACTTATAGCATGGTTCTCTCAAAGGCTGCATTCTTTCACAGGAAATACTTAGATTTATATACTAACCAGATGGCTCCATCAATTCAGGACTATGCTTCCAGGGAGAGGTAAGATATATTATTAATTACATTTTAGGAGTCCTCACCCTCTCTCATAAAATTTTAAACCTGTTCAATTCACTCATTCTTTTTCCACATCCTTGATTAGGGGTGTAATTGAGTTCAGCTATTTGTGAACTCTTTGTTAAATGCTTGACCAAGCTCATTTATTTTACTAAACAATAAATGCACAAACTCAAGCTTTTTAGGGTTGATATAAAAGCATGTGAAGAGCTCGTGTGTGTGTGTGTGTGTGTGTGTATTTGTAATGACAAAAAATGATAATCTTATGCTATAAAATATCTATAGATAATAAAAATTTATAATATATATTTTTATTACTTAATGCATTGTAATTTTACTTAGAGAATTATAGTTACCTAACTTTCATTTTTGAATATTCTTTTACTCTCTTTTTCAGTCTATTTTTACTTCATCTTCTAACATAAATTTTTTTACTAAATACTAAATTCATAAACTTGAAAATACTTTAAGAAGAGATTTGGTTAGTAAAACGAGCTAAACAAACCAAGCTCAAGCTTCATATTGTTATACAAGCCAAGCACAAGCTTTAAATTTGGCTTGCTTAGATAAATGAGCCTTGCTTGAGTATCATCTGTCTTTCGCAAGCAAAATCTAAGCTTCAAGTGCTAGGCTTGGCTCGAGTCATTTACATCTGATCCTTGATAATTTTGAATTTTCAACTTTGTTGCCTTTTTGAACAGAAATTGTGAAGACATTGCAATGTCCCTTCTTGTTGCTAATGCTACAGGTGGTCCTCCAATATGGGTGAAAGGTAGTTTCTTGATTCTTCTTTCTTTCTCTTTTAAGCGTAGGACTTTATTTGTTGGGTGTGATCTCCAATCAATATCAACAACACCTTTATCCCAAACTAATTGGGGTCGGTGAACTACAATAATAACTTAAATTTAGAATAAATAAATTATTGAAGTCTCAGTGCTTGTATTGTTCCCAATTAAATTAACTCCTCAAGTATGCTATCTAGTTAAAGATTTTGCTCTTTATATGGAAATTGTGCAAACACCACTACTTTGGAACACAAATACAGAGATGGGATTTAAACATTATGTAACATAGACATAGCAATTAGCAACATAGCACAGCACAAAATTTAAGGGTGCAAGCCGTGCATCTCAATAGATATGTTTTAAAATTTTCTAATAAAATATCTAATTGGTGAATACTAAATTTATTTCCAATTTCTAAGAGTGCTGTTTCGAGATGTGTGTTGTAATCAGTATTAGTGTCTGGCACAAACATTGCTCCTCTATTGGAATGTCAGTGTTTAATAATTTACAGCTCACATCAATAACTGTTTCTAAAACTACATGAATAAAATCATTACAAGTAATTAAATTTAGTTTTATTATAAATTAAAACAATAAATGCACAAAATCAAACAAAAGTACAAAACTACAGATTCTAAAAAAGCATGGTTCTGGTTTTAGGACGTGGAATTTTCTTGGAAGACATTAAGATGCCCTTTTCTTTTAGCTTGTTTATTTACACGTAGTTGGTAGTTATTTACTGATGGATGCAATGATTTAAATATTAGGTGTCTAGTTTTAATTTTATGATCATCATTATACATAATAATCAATATTTCACTGTGAAGCTTGTTAAAAATATTTGAAGAAAATTCTAGCTTTAACCCATGACGTTGATGTGCTAGGTTTTTGAAATGATTTAAAATGCATATATTTAGAAAAATAAGATCAATAATTTTTTTCCTGTGGACTCTTCAATTGGTTGATTTGATTCACTCTTCAATAGAAGGTAAAGCACAAGAAATGCTATAGATACATTAATACTCAGTTTTTGACTGTTACTATTTGCAAAGGATAGAAACCATGCCATTTCGTGGACATATTTATATCAAAATCTTGCCCAAGTGTGGATTGCAGAATCTCGTCTAGATCTCATAATCGTGATTATAATAGTGACAATAATTTTTACCAAAAAAAAAAAAAGATAGTAACAATAATGACATACATTAGTTCAGTGTATGGCATAAATAATCTTCACTTTCTGCCTGTTCCTCCGCTCTTTGTCTCCATTTCCAAAATAATGTGTTGTTCTATTTGCTCTGAGAAAAAAAAAAGTTAATACTGCCATTTTTCTTTTTCTGGGTGGAGATTTACTTGTTTGGTCTCCGAAAGCTAGATAATGATTGCTTGCATCTCTATGATCTGGCTATTATTTCTATTACTCAGCTTGAAGGAAATGAAATATCAAAACATCATCTACGAAATTTGCAGGCAAAATCTATGAGATTGGGGCATCGGGCATTAGCAGTCTGAGAGGGCATAGCCACAGGAGAAACAAATGTCTCAATGATTTAATATCACTTTACGGAAGTCTTCCTCTTGTTTCAACTAATGTCAAAGCAGTTAGCGCTAGTAATGAATGGTTATGGTAAGTTCTGTTCTTGCATTAATCAGCACCGATCCATTCCACACGGCAAGAAAAAAGGGAAAAAAATTAAAAGAACAGAACGAAAGAGTATGGGTCATTGATTAAGGAATCTGTCGGCATATTATCTGTATATACAAGTTCTACTGAAGTGTCTCACAAGGTTTTGATTCATTAATTTCTGATGCAAAACATGGTGTAATTTGCATCTGCGTTTTATTATTTGTATTAATTCTGCAAGAAGCTTATTGGAGATGCTCCACCTTAGAGAATGGGTTGATATAGTGAAGGATCTATTATTTTTCTTATGTAACTCTAAGAATGGCTTTACAAATACGTAACGTAACCACACAGCACCTAAATTTGTCCATACAAAGTAGACATGTGCAGTACTATTGAGCTATCAGTATAATAATGCGTTTGTGTTCATGCCTGTTATTCTCCTTGTACCATATGGGGGATGGCTGTGGACATGTGGGGCTGTAGATAAACACCAAAAATGAAATAATAAAGCCTAGATAAGGTTTGGTGCGAGAGAAGATAGCAGCATCCTTTTTCTACTTTTTAATATTGATTTCTACTTTTTCTTTTTTAGTTATTGTCAATACAATACTTGTGGCAACACACATCTCAGTAGCTGTCGGAAACTTTGTTTTTTTCATTGTTGTGAAGCTTTTGAAAAGACATTAAACCCGGAAAGGTTGCGACAACTCTTTTATCTGTTGGAGCAATACTCTTTTATCTCTTTTGTATAAGATATCTCGCAAAAAAATTATCATACACTTAATAAATTTAGTTTTTTTTTTTTAAATAATAATAATTTCAATCATATGTAAAATATACAAATTATCAAAAAGGGGAAATTCTCTTAACTGAACTCCTAGTTATCAAAAAGGGCCTCTTGATGGTCTAAGATATGGTATTTGGGGAAGTCCTATGTGAGTGAGACTCCATGAAATTTATTCGTCTTATCTCAACCAACTCGTTCCAAAATTTCATCTGCATGCAACAGTTATAGCAGACATTCCTTGCTATTTTGTGTAGACGGTGGATGATGAAAATTACCAACGTGCTGTGAGAATCGAGTTCTTATGCTGATTTCATGTTCCATGATCACAGCTAACGGGGACCGAGGTAACAAATCTTTTGAATACATTATGGGGACATTTTTCTCCTGTGGCAAAAATACATTTGTTCGTCTCTTCCACTCTATGGTTATTATTCGTGATTGGCTCCTTTATCAATTATATGTTAAAAATGCCTTTCTCTATGATGATCTTCTGGGAGAGGTTTATATGGAGCAACCTCTTACGTTTGTTGCTTAGGGGGAATCTGGTCTTGATTGTCACCTCTGCAAATCTTTATATGGTCTTAAATAGTATCCACGATCTTGGTTTAGGAGATTTAGAATTGTTGTGCAGCAATTTGGCATGACTCGGTGTGAGCTTGATCATTTAATCTTTTATCGCCACTCTGGATCCAGATCCATTTATTTGATGATGTACATTGATGACATTGTCATTATAAGTGATGACCATCATGGCATTAACCAGATAAAACAACATCTCTGTCATCACTTTCAGGCAAAAGATCTCAGAAAACTACGATATTTTTTAGGAGTTAAAATGGCCTAATCCAAGGATGATATTTTGATATCCCAAAGGAAATATGTTATGGATATCCTTGAGGAGACAACTTTGCTAAATGCAAATCTAGTTAACACACCGATGGATCCAAACTCCAAGCTCCTACCAAATCAGGGGGAACGATTCCCTAATCTAGAGAAATATAGAAGATTGGTTGAAAAACTGAACTATCTCACAGTTATATGTCCAGACATATCATTTTTCGTTAGTGTTGTTAGTCTGTTCCTGAATTCCCCTTGTGAAGATCACTGGAATGTTGTGATTTGCATTCTCAAGTATATTAAGGCAGCCCCGAGAATAGCTCTCCTCTACAATGACAAAGGGCACTCCTAAGTTGTTGGATACTCAAATGTTGATTGGGCAGGTTGCCTCACTAACAGAAGATCGATCTTTAGATATTGCATATTTGTTGGAGATAACTTAGTCTCTTGGAAAAGTTAGAAGTAAAGTGTAGTCGCTAGATTAAATGTTGAAGCAGAATATCGTTCCATGGCCACAACCACTTGTGAACTCATTTGGCTAAAACAGTTACTCAAAGACCTCAAGTTTGAAGACATTGGATCGGCAACACTATTTGTGATAATCAGCATGCCTTACACATTGCCTCCAATATAGTGTTCCATGAAAGGAGGAAGCACATCGAGATAGATTGTCACTTCGTCAGAGAGAAGATCCTCTCAGGAGATATCATTACTACTTTGTGAACTCAAATGATCAGTTAGCAGATGTCTTCCCTAAGTCTATAAGGGATCCTCAAATAGATTATATATGTAACTGTTGGGTAGTTCAAATTTTCAGAATCGTTCTCAGGGAACAGTTGTTTTAGTTTCTTTTTATCTATCCTTATTTTCTTGAAGTAGTACACAATTAAACTTTAAACTAAAAGATTTACAAACTTGTTAATATTAGAACTGATTAACAACAGTGATAAAAGGATGAATACAAGTTTGGAGTATCTAGGATTCTTGAATCATGGTTGTTCCATAAATTATGTATTACTGCATTTTTGCACTACTATGGCACTTTAATCTTAGAATTTGACTTACTATGACTACTTTAGCTAGAATTTCCCAATTCCATATCTGTTCCTCAGAAGGGTCCTTTCCCAAAGTCTTCTAAATCTTTAAGAATTATATCAAATACTTCCTTAGGTTATCCTTAACCTCAAGGGTTTAATTAGCAAAAGAACACAACCTGATTTCCCAATCGCAATTATGTTAAATTTATCCAAGATCCATTCCCATGGTTCTCCTAGACTTAAAATTGAAGACTTGCTAATCAAGTGAGATTAAAGAAAATATCAGTGTTCATAAAAATAAAAGAAGCATGCAATTATCTTGAATCCCAGAAAAAGATCTTAGAAACCCATATTAACAAGAAACGAAATTACAAAATTTGAATTAAAAACAACATGCATTACCAAATATTGAGAAAAGAGATCCCAAAGTGAAAGAAAATTTCTAAACTAGAGCTAGGAAGAACTTGAAGAATTAAAGAAAGGCTGAGCTTGTATGTAGATCCTTGATCCCTCCCTAGAAGATGTGATGGCAGTGCTCTTCAAAGTAACTTGTAACTTTAACACCCAGCTTACAAAGTTTCAAGACTCTAAAAAAAAACCAAAAACTCTTCACAAAAATTTAACGAAAAACTAAAAACTACTCAATCTCGTTGTTACAACCCATAAAATACCTATTAACTAATCTTCTTCAAATAGTTTCTATCCATTGATCTTTTTCTTTCATCAAAGGGTCCAGAATTGTTCCAACCTTATATCTCATCCACTTGGTCTTCTTTCTTTCTTATCTGAAAGCAGTAAGGTAAAATTTTGTAAGTAAAAATACAGTTACATCCGTAATTTTACCTTTTCCTCAAATGGGCCGTGTTGGTTCTCTTTACGCTCAATTACCTGTATTTTCAACACTCCACAGTCAAAATAAAACATAAATCAACCCATTAAAATAAGGACAATTCATTGTTAAGAGTAACAAGCTTCGTGCATATGATTTATATACTCCAGCTTGAGGGAGAGTGTTGTAAATAGAGTGGTCTCACTTTGTAAAGTATAAAGGATGAAGTCCCACATCATGCAAACTCCTACTATAATCTCTACTCAATACATTCTATAATAGAATCTCCATTGTGTAGTTAAGACACGCGAATTTCACCATATTCATCTTGGGTCTGGTTATTCAAAAGCTACTATAGTTATTTACTCACATTATTTGACAATGGTGTTGAATAAGGCTTTATAAAGCGTGGTGCTCAGAATATAGTTGTCTTAACTTCTTCTGCCAAAGAATTTATGATAGAGATGGAGATCTAACTATGAATAGCCAATTTTACCTTAACATTTGAAGGGAAACTTAAGAAAAAATCTACTTACAAAATTGCATTTAATTTGTAAACTGATGTTGTGACTTCGGCAAGTGCACTGATCATAAAAGTAATAAAGAGTAGAGTAAGAGATCGTTCTCACGAGGATTGAAATTTCAATCACTAGTTCACTAATAACACTTAAGTTGAACAGTCAATTACGAACAAGCTGGAAAATCAATCAAGAATATTATATGAAAATTAAACTAAATACTAAGCAAGAAAGTAAAATATGAGTTGGTTGATAATCAAGAATGCGCAGTTAGGGTTTTGATTTCCCCCAAATTTTTCTTTATGTTATGAATTAAAACCCTTAATTAATTGCCCTTTTCATATTGTCAATCGATTCCCCTAAGTTAATTAGAACTCAATCCCTTGACATCCTAATTTTTTTTTTTATAACATTAAGGGGCGAAGCCCCAAACAAAAACAAACAAACAACCAGAAACAAAAAATAACTATCCAGGGTCTATATCCCTACAAGAGGAGATTCCCTGAAGATCGTGATCAAATAACTGAGCAAGGTGAAACGGCATAACTCTATGACTCCAGAATCCAGTATCTTTGTGAAGAGCAGACTTGGCTAACCAATCAGCACAAGAATTAGCTTCTCTTGGAATATGAGAAAGCGTTACCTCCCAATCCTGACCGATGAGTGCTTGTATCTTAGCCACTATACGAGGCTGACAAGCTGCATTGCAATCAGCAAGCAAAGAGAATACTTCAGAAGCATCTCCTTCTAGTTCCACCTTCTTAAATCCCAGTTGCCAAACCAATTCCAGACCTTTTAGAGTTCCCCAAAGCTCCGCCATTAAAGGAGTGCAAGCACCAATATGATACTCAAAGCCTCCCAACCATGAGCCATCATCAGATCTGATAATCCCACCACAAGCAGCCACCTCAGTATTCCTTTCAACTGCCCCATCAATATTAATCTTCACCCAATTTAACCTTGGAGGTTTCCATAAACTCATACGAGTTGGATGAATGCTAGTAGTAGCCATAGCCTTCCTACCCATGCAGTTACGAACTTCCTCTATATACATAGCAATTATGTGCGTTCCATGGGTTGGATGCTTGAAGTTAGTATCATGGACACTTTTGTTCCTCCATCCCCAAATGAACCAACAAGAGATAAAAAAGACATCACGCCAATCATCTGAATTACTTTGATTCCAAGCTTTTGAGATATTATTTTCAACCCAATCTCTAAGATCCAAGCTGTAGAATAAGCTTTGCCGATTAGCTGAAACCAGAGAATTCCAAACACTTCTAGCATGCTTACAATCTCTTAGAATATGGAGGTTTGTTTCCAACTCAACAGGACATATTTTACAATGACC